GGCGCCGAGCCTGGAAAGTCTATTTTGAGTTCTTTGAGCATTCTCCATACTTCTTTCCAAAGAGGCTGTATTAGTTTGCAATCCCAGGGTCTGTAGATTTTTGAGAGAAAAACTTGTTGGAATGGCCACATGAGGAAAGGAAGTATGGACTATAGTTCATCCATCTAGTTCATGATTGTGGAGGCTGCATAGGCAAATCCAGAAGGCAAAAGCCATCAAGAAGGGAAGGCTGGGCTTGGCGCCTGTAGCTCAAGTGGCTAAGGTGCCAGCCACATACACCAGAGCTGGCAGGTTTGAATCCAGTCAGATACTGCCAAACAACAATGACAACTACAACCAAAAAACAGCCGAGTATTGTGGTGGGTGCCTGTAGTCCCAACTACTTGGGAGGCTGAGGCAAGAGAATTGCTTAAGCCCAGGATTTGGAGGTTGCTGTGAGCTGTGATGTCACAGCACTCTACCCAGGGCGACAGCTTGAGGCTCTGTCTCCAAAAAAAAAAATGGCAAGCTGGAACTCTCTGGCAGGAGCTGAGGCTACTCTTCACTTGTGGAATTTCTCTTTCCTTGGGGTAGACTAAAATTCTTTATTTCTACTGTTCCATATCCCATTTCTTCCTTCTCTATTCATTTTTAAAAATTAATTTCAAAAGCTTATGTTTACCAATGATTGGATTATCTCTTAATGTGTTTCTAGGTCTTCTTTAGAGCTATAATTTGTATATAGTAAAATACACAGATCATAATCTATAACTTTATTAGTTTTAATAAATGCATACTGCATGTTAGTATCAGCCAAATTATGATAGCAGACATTTTTATTGTCAACCTAAATGAACAAAACTGAGGCACATAATAAAATTTTGAAGAGTTTACTTGAGGCAAAATGAGGAAAGTTCCAGATGACTCAGACCCAAGTGACCTTGGATGTGAACTCCACTCAGCCTTTGTTTCAGCAGGTTTTTTTTTTTTTTTTTGAGATGGAGCCTCAAGCTATCCCCCTGGGTAGAGTGCCATGGCATCACGCTCACAGCAACCTCCAACTCCTGGGCTCAAGCGAGTCTCCTGCCTCAGCCTCCCAAGTAGCTGGGACTACAAGCGTCCGCCACAACGCCTGGCCATTTTTTGGTTGCACCCATCATTGTTGTTTGGCGGGCCTGGGCTGGAGATTCGAACCCGCCACCTTAGGTGTATGTGGCTGGCGCCCTAGCCGCTTGAGCCACCAGCGCCGAGCCATTTCAGCAGGTTTTTAAAGGCAAAAAAGGGGACAAGGAGTTGCCTGATATAAAGATGTCAGAAATTCTCATTAGTTTACAGAAATAACATTAGTGTCAGTGGGAAACCCAAACTCTGTAAAATAACTTAAAGAGGCTTATTCTGAGCCATATATGTGCAACTGTAGCCCAGGGAA